GGGAGGGAGGGCGGGAGGGAGGAAGGAAGGAAGGAAGGAAGGAAGGAAGGAAGGGAGTTTCTTATTTGTGGCTCATCAGACTTAGAGGTCACACTTGTGATACTATTCCGTGATAATGTATTTGGTATCCTGGAGGTGGGAAAAATTCATTTTTGCCTCATTAAATTTATAAAACCCATGGCTTTTGCCTAAGGGAAGAACTGTGTTTATAGAATGGTGAAGTGTTTCGAAGTAACTTGATTCTGCATGCAAAAGTGTATAACAATTTTGTTGACATCAGATTTTTACTATGGTAAGTTCAGAAGGTTTATGTTCAGAAAGTTGATGTTCCTTGACTATCCCTCTTGGTCTGGTAGAGGCTTCTTTCTGTCACTCCTGTATCGTAACTGCATCACTTTGTATTATGGCTCCTCCTCACCTAAGACAGTTTACCTCTGCTTGCTCGTAAGCAGCAAGAATTGAAAGAAAATGTATAGACTTAGAAGAAATAATACCCCAGAGCCACCTTTAAATGCATTTTTCCAAGGCATATCAAAATATCCTTGGAATTTGTTGTGAAAATTTGACCACATCCTAGTTAGCATGAGGTTAAAATTAACAGTAACATGTGTTTTAGGGATCTCAATTTGCAAAATATTAATAGAGTTCATGGGCAGTTAACTGCAATAAAGGGAGGAAATGAAGTTTATAGTGCAGGGCCCTGGGGATTACAGCTTTCTCTACCCCTGAGCATGTTCATATCCCAGAACTCACGTAAAGTGAGGAAGGCCGTAAAAGGAACAAAGAAGGAAAGCTCAAGGTTGATGTTATAGGTCTCTCTCTCTTCCCTCCTGGGAGGGCTTCCAGTGTATCCAGGGGTAGCCTCACTTAGTCTTAGTTTCCTCCTGCCCATTCAGAAACCCATGATTTACCCTGAGGTGCAAAAACAGGGACCTTCAGTGAGACTCATAGCTGCTGAAACATCAGAAAGGAGCCCTGACCAATTTCTTACCACTTCTGTGGAAATGTGATTCTTATTGCATTTTCATCTCAAGTTAAACTACTTAGGCATAAAAAATTTTAAAAAAATGTATGAAGACATTCCAGATTGAGAGTCAGTAGACATAGATTTATGCATTCTCTGCTTTTGACTCTCTTGTGACTTTAAGGAAATCATGGCTTCCTTCTACACTTTTGCCTCCTCACCTAAACAGAAATAGTAGGGCTAGGGGATCTCTAGGGGCTCTTCCTGCTCTTTAGTTTGTAGTTTAATGTGAATCTGACTTTTGTCCAGTGGGCTTTCTTAGGAAAATTTACCAAAGAATGATTATTGAATACAAGATTCAGATATTAGAGCCAGGAAAAGTCCATGCAAGCTAAAGTAATCACAATAGCAAGAAAGGTAGGCTTTATTTCAAAGGCGAGATGGAGATTGAATGATGAGAGAGGAAAGAGGTCATTCCAGGCAAAGAGAAGGCTTAGGGTAAAGACCTGAGGTGTGAAGATACAAGGCGTGATTTGAAATTCAATGGGAGAGCAAGGTAATTGGAGCAAGTTGAAGAAGGAAACAAAAGAGGAGAACCTCCACAGCCTTCCCAGGACTTCATATGGACCATTTCTGAGGCCACCTTCAGGGACACACTTCAGTGTAGTATATAGGAATATTTTTGGACTCAAAATGTCAAAAAAGGTGGCTGATCTGGACTGTTTCTGATGAGGGCCCTACTGGTCTCGCCTGCCGAGTTAGTGCTCTTGTAGCTGAGACCTGACTTTCTCACTCCAGTTGGTAGCTGTCCTCATGTCAGTTCCTTTCACACTAGCTCCTCCACAGGCCTTTGCCATACTCACCTTCTGCTTCTAGAATGGGAGTCATTCTGCTTTCGAGAGAGCCTCCATGGAAAGAATCTGGGAGTGATGACTTTCCAGGGTGTTAACATACGAAATCTTCCACCCTCTTCATGTAAAAAAATATATATATAGTTTGTTTTTCTTTTTTTTTTTTTTGAGATGGAGTCTTGCTCTGTCGCCCAGGCTGGAGTACAGTGGTGCCATCTCAGCTCACTGCAACCTCTGCCTCCCAGGTTCAAGCGATTCTGTTGCCTCAGCCTCCTGAGTAGTTGGGACGATAGGTGCACGCCACCACTCCCGGCTAATTTTTGTATTTTTAGTAGAGATGGGGTTTCACCATGTTGGTCAGGCTGATCTTGAACTCCTGATCTCGTTATCCACCCACCTTGGCCTCCCAAAGTGCTGGGACTACAGGGTGAGCCACCATGCCTGGCCCCCTCTTCATATTCTTAAGGCTCAATCTTCTGGGCTTCCAGGAGGCCTAAGGGTACCCAGTACTCACACCACTTCTGTTCTTGGCAAAGTTATCAGGAGCCTTCCACCACTTCAATCTTTGGGACAGTGAAGTTCAGTGGAGCTCAGACTATCATGAACCCTTGCTAGTATCCATTGACTGGGTTTGACACCCAGGCACTCTCATTAGATTCTAATCACTTTTTGCCACAGTGAGGTCTGAGACTTAGTACTCTCTGGGTCACCCTGCTGACATCTCTATTTCCTCTGACCTTGTCACTAGAACTGGGATCTGGCCTTGTATTTTTCTTAGTCATGAGCCCCTACTTTGTTAAGTGTTTCAGGCCCCCCCAGGACCACAGTTCTCAGCTCATTTATCTATGAGTATTAATATCCTGCCTTGTGCTTGCCTGGATTCTTTATCTGACTGGCAGGTGCTCTGGGGTAGACCACCTTCTGAACTGTGACCTAGGTTGCAACAGCCTCTCACACCTGTATCCTTACGCTCATTTATGTTGCACGCTTCAATTCCCAAAACATTCATCACACATTCTTCTTACATAAACTTTATTTCTTGTCCTTGATTTGTGAGCAGTTAGAGCAACAGCCCCCCACAGAAATATCAAAAGCTGTTTGTTATTACAAAGACCTCATTCTACTCTCATTAAAGATGTTGGGAAAGAATGTCATGATTCTATCTCATATTTTTGGTGGGAATAATTTGATAACTACCTGATAAAACTTTTTAGTCTCATAATCACTTGCTCTGAATCTCCAGAACACTGAGAAATTGAAGGAAATATGTAAGGGTTGTTTGTTCCTTTATTTGCTTATTTTATTTAAAGTCAGCGTTTTCACAAAAGTTGTGGTCTTTTTAATTGTGCACACTTTGTGCCTTAGTTTATCTGTGTTCAGTTCCTGGCCAGAGATCATTTGTTTTCATAAGAATGTACATGTGTCTGAAGCATCAGAGCTACAGGCGCTGCTCCCACCCCATCCCTGCAGACTTCATCCTGCTCAGTCCAAGGCAAGGGAACTATCCACTGGCTCAGACCCATTATGAGAGAAGTCTAGAATTGTCTTATCTACTAGTCCTGGGCCAAAAGGAAACTGAGGAAGCTCTTCAGTACACAAGAGTCTAATGGATGGCAGGTCTCTCAACCCCCACAAGCATGCCCACCACAGGCAGAAGATGCCCACTGCTATCCCTCCCCAAGCTGATTGAACACTCACAATCTCATGGGACTGCTCAGTGCCGAGTTAACAGAACCCCTTTGGAGCCTACGAACTGGATTCCTCAGTACATCCAACAAGGGCTTCTACACTTTTTCCTCACTCAAGACATACTGAGCTTTTTTCCCTCAAATGGGCCAATGCAATTGGTGCCTGTATGGTAGACACACCTGACAGTAATAGCTTAACTGAAGCCTACCCTGAGAATGACCCTGTACAGCAGATGGACCTGACAGCAATAATTTAAGAAATGAGGGTGCTCATGTGGAGGTTGCTGAGGAGAGGGTGCTCAGTGAGGATGTTATGTAAACTGCATGTTTTTTTTTTCCAGCAGTTCTGGTTTTCCTGTCCAGCCTGCCACCCCTGGACCGTCCCTGTATGTAAGTTCCCGCAAATAAAACCATAGGCCTCTTTTGCTGGCTCTAGGTCTCTTCTCTAGCCTCTTGAACCCAGTGCCATCCCTACTGAAGTTAATAGGGGTCTGGCATGATAGTGTCACAGCATGCTTCAATGCCTGCAAAATAGACTGAGTCTTATGGTTTTGGCTCTGTTGAGTTTATTCTGATGAAGGCAAGGTTCTTATCCTTTTCACTCATCCATAGTCAAGGAGAAAGGCCATCCACGGGAGCTGACGCCCCAAGGGGAGATCACCTATTACCCTCGATAACTCAGGTCTGGTCTCCCCAGCACAAGTGCCAATATAGGTAAAATTACTTCTGATTCCAATCCCAAAGTCCTCCATATTTCTTGCTTTTCCAGTAGATTCCCTTAAGCAGCCCAAAATCCTCTGAAGGGCTTGACATGTGCTGAGCTCCTGAAGGCTGTGGGTAAAGCCAACCGTGGAGCTTCAGGGGATGTTTGCATGCTGAGCAGGCTTAGCAGAGACACTGTGCCAAGGAGTGTTTTTAGAGTGAAGAGGAATTTGAGTTTTTCTCATCTAGGACCAGGAAAGATTACTGGTATGACTCAGAGGATTACAGTAAGAGAGCCTTTTCAATAATGGGGTAAAGAGGAAAGCAGACTGAGTTTGCAGGAGGCATCTTGGGGTTTTAATCCCTGCTCAACAACTTACCAACTCAGGGGCTATGAGCCATTTATTTCTCTTAGCCTTGATATCTTTATCAATTAAACAGAGATAATAATATGCATCTTGAGGAGGTACCCTGAGAATTACATGTGGCCATGGTTATAAAATATCTAAACAACATTTGGTACACAGTAAGGGCTCAATATATAGAAGCTGTTTACTACAATAAAGGTGAGTTAAGGCAGGTTACTGGAATTACTTCATCATTTTCTCTAGATCGGAGAGATTCCAAAGGAGCTGATATAACCAGACATATGGCCTAGTTAGTTCTAGGAAAATATATAACAAAACTCACTTTTCTTATAAGCTTCAGCAGAACTAAGAGAAATAACTGCCCTAAAGTTTGGAGAAGAGCAAAAGGCTGAATTCAGGACCTATTTGTCTTGCAGACAAGTAGAAGCTCCCTACGGCATACTCAACACCGCATATGTGCACAGAAGTGCACAAACACAAAGGTGCAGACATACACGCATACGTGCACATATTCACATACGGAGCTCCCACTCCAAGACTGAGCTACCTCCCTTGCCCACTGTTCTTAAGCTCCTATGCTGTATCAAAGGAGAAGAAACTGATGTTTCAAGCTTGTTGAATTCTAACTCATCAAAATAGTTTGGTTTACCCCCTGTGCTACTTTACAAGGCACTTAGGCATTTTTTCATGGGGTTGGGAAATCATGTTTCATCAGTAATAAACAGGATCAACCCCCAAAGACTGAAGCTCAATTTCAAGCTCAGAACCCAGGAGGTCAGAGTGGATTCTATCACACAAAATCACAAACTCCCTTTCCTTAGCAAAGCAAAACATATTCTGGGAGAAAGAGAGGAGGCTTCAAGTCAAGCACAGCAGTTTCTAATATTTTTCCACTTGACTTTTCTTAATTAGTGTTGACTAGCTTAACGAAGCAATTAAGGGGCTTATTTGCTTTTTAAAATCACATGTGAAATTTAAGAAACCTTGAAATAGAAGAAATATTTGTCCCCAAGATCTTACTCCACAAGGGATATCAGTTTGAATATTCTCCAACCACTAGAAAGTGAGAACAACTGGCCCTGTTCTCCAAATGAGGCCCAAGCAAAACAGAAATCGCAGTAGCCGGCTCTGCATGTAGAAATCCTCAGTAAGTGAACGGCTGCTTTTCAGATGTTATTTCTGAGACTTCCATTGAAAACAACAATGATAATTAGTTTTTGATAATAAAGACATCTACCACTTATTGATTAATTATGAGCTAAGAAGTGTGTTGCAGACTTTTCATATGTTATTTCAATTTAAATCTGTAAATGTTCCCTTGCCTTTTTACTAGAGTAAGAAAATAAGGATTCAGAGAGGGTGAACGGCATGCCCAGGGTCACACACCTGTCAGGACCTCGACTGAAACTTTTCTCATTTAGACACATGGTTGTCCCATGACATTTCACTTTCTTCCCTTGTGATAACTCTAAACCAGGAGAATTGTGGCTTAAGCACACCAAAGATCATTAAATAACTAAACTTGTGTGTGCATGTTTACACCTACATTTATATAAATAGCATATACAATAGTAAAAAATCATGTTATTTTAAATAATTATATCTAATTATCTGTATGACAATCTAATAAGCCCCTAATAGATAGTATATTAATCATATGATTATAGTTTAAGTTATTTACATGAAACAAGCTTATATATCACAATTTGTAATTGATATAAACATAAATTGATAATAATACAAATAAATATACAGTATATTAAATGTGATATGTATGTAACATATATATGAGACCTACAAATCCATAATATGTAATACAAGCCATAATATAACATGATATATAAAACATGTAATACATAATATTGTGATATATATAATGTGTTTGTATAAAATACACAACACATGATATATAATACATGGAAATTATGTCTTTAATAATTGTGTATAATTACAGAATTATCAGAAATTTTGATACAGGGTTAACAATTAGATTATTTTAATAAATATATACTTATAGGACAATAGTCTATATTACAATATAACTCAATAAATAAATTTGATTATTAAATAATAATATTATGGAGTAATTAACTGGACTATCCAGAGTTTAATGTGTGCATCTGGTCATACGCAAGTTCACATTTATTGTCTATCATGTGCTAGAAACAGTGCAAAGCACTTTATATATCACCTTTTTAAACCTTTCCACAAACCAGCAAGGTAGGTACCATTCACTGAAAAGAAATTGAGGCTTTTATCAGTTAAATATTCTTTTTTTGTTTTTCTTTTAGGGGTACAGAGCTAGCAAAAGAGCCAGGAATCAACCCTTATTTCGTCTTATTCCAAATGATATCAAGTGTTTGTATTCTACCAAGTCAGATAAGTAGGTGGAGAAAAGGTGAAGTGACAAAGCACAGGAGGGACAAAGAGATTATGCCTTCATGCTTCCCTGCTCCTTGAAAATGTAGTATATGCCAAGTTTTCATTGATTCAGTGGGGGAAGGCAAGGGACGCTGGCCTGGTGCCAGTTCAACCACTCTCTCAGTCTCTTGTTTATTCAACAAGCTGTTCCTCTGGGTCCTGGGGAAGAGGAAATTATTTGGGGTGGCAGCCCATGGCATATGTCCTGATGCAGCCTGTGGCATATGTCCAAGCCCCTCCCAGTGTGACACTTTTGTGACCAGGGTCCATATGCTCATGGCACTCCCTTGGACTTAGCTATTTTTTCATTGCCTCTGGGACTGCAGGCTAAATACTTGGCACTGGAAACATTGCCAGCAGCAGCACAGTTTGGGAGTACATCCCACATGGGCACTGAGTCAACAGTGCCAACAGGAGGAAAACATATGAGCCCAGGGAGATTTCTTAACTATTTACCCAGTGGGGGAAATTGTTTATTTTCCACATATCTCCCAAACAGCCCATTTATGAGCTCCATTTATGACTTCAAACAGGTAAGTTGGCAGAGACATGGCAGTGAAGATAAGATGATGACTAATTAATAGCCTTGCAACAGGTTTCAACACCCAGATCTACAACTACCATTATTATTTTTCTTAACCACTAACATTTATTTTCAAATACAAACATGCTTTTAAGTATTTTTCTTAATACAGATAATAGTTTTATCTTGTTCCTGGCACCATTTCCTCTTCCCAATAGGGTTATAAATAGGGTCTTCCATTTGGCAAGGGTCTTGTCCGTGGCATTGGAGAGACGGTTCTATAGTTACTGTAACAAAACAGCACATAGTTGGCATATTTCTCCCCAAACTTTCCTAACATTTACACTGCCATCTGCATACTTTTCACTTGACTTCACTCTGAAAATTGACTGTTCCTCTGATACATACCAGAGACTTGGCTACTTGGACATTTGGAAACAAAATAGAAGGAACAAAACATGAAAAAGGAAGCATTCTTCCCATTTCTGATCCCAGGCATTCAATACTTGTAGTAGTACAGTAGTTTGTAAGAATGGTTTAAGGTAGCTCCCTTTAAGGTCAATTTTAATTTTAAGATTTTAGGATTCTGTGAATGAAGGGATAATTCATTAATTAATATACTAATATCAATAACTGCTTTATTTTCCTGAGTTTATACAGTTATTTGCCCATATTTAAATATATATGTAGAAAAATGTGGGATCAGTATGTGTGTGTAAGAAAACTCAAAAATGAGTCTTAAAAACACAATAAAGTTAAAATGGAAGATCCAGACCTAAAACCCTTTCCAAAGTTCTGCTCCCAACATTTCAAGTAAGTGTCAGATAACACAAATGAGTTTTTAAGAGGATTAAGATGCTAGAACATAGTATCTCTGGAAGTTCAAGGATTTCCACTGTTGTGAGACAAAGAATGCATAAGAATACAAATCTCCAGAGTCTTGTCTTCCAGATAACCCAATAACCCTCACCAGCTGGGCTTTACTTTCTTTTCAGGTTTAAATAAAGGAGGGGGAAGGTTTCAGCAATAGCTGCAGGAGTTACTGATGAATTGAGGATTCTCCAAAATGAGACTTTTAGAGAGAGAGAATACACATAGCCCTTGCCTGGAGAACTGGATAAATTCACTCTGTCTTCATCAAACATGGTTAGCCCAGGCATCATTTGAACGAATGTGAAGAAAAAACTAACTTCTCGATGTTTTTTCCTGATACTCTGCCTGTGCATTTGCTCATGTCATATGAGAATATAGAAGAGAAGCCAGGTCAGAGTGAATATTGGCCCATAACACATTTTACGGAAGGCTATTTGGTGCCTAGTCATCCCCAGAACGTCTTCATATGAGGATTTACTGAGCCAAAAACAATTTAAGATTTATTTGAGAAGTCACCCAAGTGATGAGTCCATTAGTGGATACAAAGATATTAGTGATTAGAATGGTTGTGTTGGAGATGAGAAGTTGCATTGCTGTTGCTGCTGTTGTTTTATTCTTTTTCTTTGCTCTTATGCAAAATACCGTAGGAAAATAATTTTGTTTTACCAAGTTTAATGTGAGATTTTACTTGTGATTTTGATATTTTGATCCCAAGCCTTACAGTTGGAGAAGTCAAATTTTCTGTTTTTGTTTTAACAATCGTTTTAGCTTATAGAATGAAGGAGTGGACACTGGGTAACTTTACAGAATATTTTATCCATAATTAAGAATCTAATGAAGCTGAAAAAAGAACATTGTTTCTTATGGGTTTAAAATAATATAGTGATGTATTTTCATTACAAGTGCTTTGGAGATAAAAATTTGAGGGAGAATAAACCAGTACACACCTGCACACTCACACACACACTCACACACACATTTACACACATACAGAAAAAAAAATACTTTTTTAAGCCTTACCTGCTGACATATGTTGTGTTTAAATGAATATTCACTACATCCAACTCTTGTCACTTTCATCCATCTTAGATATTTAACATTAAATATCTAATATTAACATTTAACATCAATATTTAACATTAACACAATATCTAATAACATTAACACAGAGCTATGGTTGAGTTTGTAAGACAATATCACATGCACAACATATATTTGTGTAAGGCATGATGCTGGGTTCTGGATGTTGACTGAGAGATGAAAGAATGGACATCATTTTGACATTGGAAAAATTCATAAATTTGGTGGAGAACAAACATTTGTCATACAAGCTAAATGAGCTTAAGTTGCATTTTAAACTCAGCAGTTCACAAATTTATCAGTTACAACCTTAATATCTTCTTTGATACCAACTTCCAATTCATCTATCTTATACTTTTCTTACCTTGGCCTCTCCAAATTATCTCAGTTCATCTCTCTTCTTCAGTCAGTCAGTGTCTGCTTCCTGTGGGTAGATCTACAATCCTGTACTAACCTGTCACTCTGTAATTCAAATCTCTCTTGATTGGCACTGTCCAAAATGGTAGCCCCTAGCCACATCTGGCTTTTACATTAATATTAAAATTAAATTAAACTTTCAGTTTTTTATTCAAACCAATCATTTTTCAAGTGCCCTACAGCCACATATGGCCCATTGCTACTATTGGTGAATGACGCTGGTATTTCCACTGGCTCAGAAAGCTCTGAGACAGATCTGCTCTAATGCACAGTTCAAAGCTCGCTTGCCAGGCTGTTCTCCCCATAGTTTCCTCAGGCAAGCGAGTCTCCAATAAGTTAAATATTCATTGTTTTCTGCATATATTCTGAGCTTCACTGACTTGGGGGCTTTCCTATTTCCAAAGCTTCAAGCGTTCTTTTGAAATCCTATTGTCATTTAAGGCCTAGAATAAAGAATTGTTTCCCCTTCTTTTACGAAGCCTTTTCTTTTCTTTCTTTCCTTTTTTCTGTTTGTCACACAGCCTTTATTTCTCCCTCATTTTTTTTTATTATTATACTTTAAGTTCTAGGGTACATGTGCACAACATGCAGGTTTGTTACATAAGTATACATGTGCCATGTTGGTGTGCTGCACCCATTAAGCCTTTTCTAATCTTCCCAGTGAGAGCTTTGACTCCTCTGGAATCTGACAGCACACTTTGTGCCTCAGCTGTGCTTCACTTAGAGCTCTGTTTCAGCGACAAGAGTTGGATGCAAGGAATGTTCAGTTATTCAAACACAGCATATGTGAGCAGATAAGCCTTAAAAAATTGTGAACTGCTGAGTTCAAAATGTAAGTCTTCAGAGGATTTTTTTTTTTTTTTTCTCCAGTAGTTGGTTATGCTAAGTTAAAATGGAAGATTTTAACTTAGTTTTTTGAGGTCAGGGGAAGCATGAAATTTTCATATTTCATGACCTCTGGTTTTTCTTCTTTGTGTGTTTTATTTTACTTATTTATTTTTTTAAGTTTTAGGGACATTAAAGATAAAATAAAAGAATAAAAAGGGAAGGACACAATTGGTGACAAAATCTGAAGGTGAAAATGAATTAATAGAGTTATATCAACCATATATGAGGGAAGGATGGGGTTGCTGCACATTGTAGAATAAAGTCCTATAATTAAATTCTTTTTCTGTTAATTTGCTTTCTGGATCTACGTGAGTTAATTATTGTCACTAAACCTGTCATTTGTTTTTGTTTTATTTTATCTGTAGAATAAAAATAGTAATGCTCACCACATAGGTTGTTGTAAATATCCCTTAAGGTAATATATGTAAAAGCACCTCTTAAAAAAAAAATGTCTCATACAAATGTGAGTGTTTACAGCAAGCTTCCAGGAAAGGAGGGTTTGGAATGGGGAGAAACACATGTTCTCCTGTCCCTTCACAAACCCACTTTCTTCTGACAAAGCCCTGCCGACTGATAAAGTTCCAGTAGGCTCTTTGTGAGTTATCCACAGGGTTCTCTTTTTATCTCACAGAAATATTTATATATCTATACATTTCTATAATATTTTTTATTCTACCCTCCTTGGGATGTAGTTATGACTGTTGAATATTTACTTTTCAGACATTCCTTCTCCCTTTGAAGAAATCCACAAAAGAAAAAGCAAAATACTGACAAGTTTTCAAAGCCATGATTTACAGGAATGAATTCTGAAAAGCAAGTGGCTAACATCCGAGTTCATCATCAAATAATATTTCTAAAGCACCCTCTAGTGTCTGGCCCCAAGCCAGATGATTCAACGCCTGGAGAAGCTACAGACTTTTTCAAAGTAAATAGACTCACGTCTGCTCTTGAGAAGCAAGTCGGCATCATTTAGGATGCCTTTAAGGCATTAAAAATGGATTGCTGTAGAAAAATTAATACAGGTACAAACACTAATAATATTGAGTGCAATTTAAATTCCATTTTAAAATAGATAATAGGGTTTAAAATAACATGTCGAAAATTGTACTGGAATTAGCAAAATTTAAAATCTTAGGAAGAAGAATCCTGATTTGTATGTGAAAAGGTTTTGAACTGAGGAAAATTAAGACTAGCAAGAGTAGATAGGGGTTGTCTAGTAGGAATCATAGACCCATCAGCCATCTGATTATGCTGTGACTGATACTAGCCTGTAGTTTTCACCCAGTAAATTATCAAGTGGTACAGTAGAAAGAGCATGGTATGTAGAATCATAAGACTCATAGTTTGGGGTCAACTCTACTAGTCACTTGGCCATGTGGTTTGGAACACATCACAAAAGATTTATGAGCCTTCGCTTCTTCACATGTAAAATTGTGATGATTTTGCCAACTTCATAGAATTGTTTAGACTTTAGAGTATTACATAGGATACAACGGACTAGTTCCTTGAACAAAGTACTTGTCCCCAAAATGTTACTATTTTTTCTAGTTGTGTGATTGATTTTGCAATCAGCAATTTAATATTATGCATTCAATACGTTTATAATATGCATTCAATGTGACTCGCATATATTTCATAAAAACAAATTTGAATATTTTTCTCATTTTGTCATTCACATATCTTTGAGAATGGCATCATAGTTTTATTTTGATAATGAAATAATACAGTCAATTCCTGAATAGGCTAGTTGACTTTAATGAGAAATACCCATTTATTCATTCATTCATTCATTTCATTTTCAACTTTTAAATTAAATCCATAATGGCCCCTTCACTATGGGGTTCTTATATTAATAAGATGGACCAGATACTTTTATCACCTACAAAAAAAATCTTTGTAGGCGGAGCAATAAAGAGTACTGAATCATTTTAAGAAGTCACATAGAAAATGACTTTTGAACATGGAAGGACTCGGCTTGATCAAGCAAATTCTATTTCAAAGTTTTACTTGCAAGGTTATTTATTACTGTGTGGAATCTCACTCCTGGGGCTGGGGTCAAGAAAAATGGGGACACAGGTGTCTGCCTATTTGCACAGGCATTAAAAAGTATTGTAAAATGAGCTTCAGCCTTTTAAGTTACTGTCTTCTTTATAATAATAATCTTTTCCATTTTACAAGGTCTGTATTATTTTTAGGTAAGAAAACACTGTAGAGTTCATGTTTTATTGTTCCTTGCAGTTATATAAATTATATTTGGCCAAAACAAATGTAATTCCTACTGTGTGAACTGGGAACCCAAAATGTTGATTTTCCTCAAGTTATAAACAATGTGAAGATATGTTATACTAGGTCACAATTTTCCAGAGCAGAGCAAAATATATAACTCAGTTTTAATAACAAAACTGCATATATCATTAAAGCTTCCTACTCCACACAGAATGTATTATATTACTCTGCCCAGCAAGAGACATCCTTTGTGTAGACCACAATTTCTAAAATACCATTTGATTGAATAGAAAACAGGTTAGCCATTTCTTAGTTTAAAAGAAAACATAATGGGTAAATGCTCATGGACATTCTGCTTTGCCTTTGCTAGTGAATATTAAATTTCTTCTCACTAAGTTTAAATGTCACAGATTTTGTAAACAACAAGGTCTAGGGGAAAACCATTATGACCCTTTTCTGACTATTAGATGAATCTTCATATTTTTAGCAACTTAGAAGCAGATGTCCTCTCCTTTTCAGCACCAATAAACCTTATTTATACATGTACTATATCAACTTCAAGTCTTATTGTAATTATTTACGTACAAGTCTGCCTCCCCAAATAGACTTGCAACTTAAGGCAAAATCCAGACTGCATTATGTTTGTATTCTGAGCCCCTGGTTCAATGTCTACCACAAAGTTGGAGCTCTAGAAATATTAAATAAAAGAGTATATGCTGAAAATTCACCACCAAATTGTTAATTTACCCACCCACTGTTCCTTTCAGAATAACTCCAAAATTTAAGAAATTGTAAGTACTATCTTTACAACACTGATAGGAATCAGGAACTATTTCCTTTATTAAAAACTCACAGATGGGATTATTAGCTAGTCTGTCCTCCTCATTTCACAGATGGGGATTTGAGGGACCAGATGAAGGAAGCTTCTTTACTCTTGCTATATCATAAAACTGATACCAATTATGTTTATATGATATAAAAGTAGTCCATGTGAATTCTAAACATTTTGACAAGTTCAAACATACATAAAGGAGCCAGCAACCACATGAAAAGATAACTTGAAAAATCATTAAATGTAAATCAAAACCACAATGAGGTATTACCTCAAACTTATGAGGAAAGCAAAGCAGAAACCAGAAACTACCAAATGTTGGTGAGTATGTGGAGAAACTGGAACCCTTGTGTGCTGTTAGTTGGCTTGTAAAATGGTGCAACTGCTATGGAATAGTATGACAGCTCTTCCAAAAATTAAAAATAGAATCACAGCATGATCTAGTCATTTTACTTCTGGGTATATATCCAAGAGAATTGAAAGCAGGGTCTTGAAGAGATATCTGCATGCCCTTGTTTATAGAGGCAAAACCCAAATGTCCATCAGGGTATTAATGGACAAACAAAATAAGAAATGGAATCTTACCCAATCTTAAAACAGGAAGGTAATCTGTCACATTCTACAACATGGATGAACCTTGAGGACATTATTTTTAGTAAAACATTCCAGTCACAAAAAATCAAATACTGTATTATTTCACTAATATGAGCTCTCCAAATTAGTCAAATTCATACAGACTGAAAATAAAATGTGATTTTTCAGGGGCTACAGGGAGGCAGTACTGGGGAGTTGTTCAATGCATGTAGAGTCTCAGTTTTGCAAAATAAAAATTTCTGGAAGTATGTTGCATCATAATGTGAATATACTCAACACTACTGAATATACACTTAAAAATGGTTAAGATAGTATTTTATTTTTTTCTACACTTAAAAATGTATGAAAATACACATAAAGGAAAAAAATTTAAAAATATATAAAATAACATCAGAAAAGGTCTAATTAATATATTCAGTTGTTTTATGCAATATTTATATATTTGAGATCGTATTATGTAACAATATACCTTATTTTTATAACAAAAATAGGACCAAAGCATTTTTAACTATAGAAATACCAACTTAAAAAGTTCAATGAGAGCTCATAATATGAATAAACCATAATTTGCTTAACCACATCCCAATATTTAAATTATTGTACTTAAAAAAAATATATTTATTTATTTATTTATTTATTTATGTATTTTTGAGATAGAGTCTCACTTTGTTGCCCAGGTTGGAGTGCAATGGTGCAATCTTGGCTAACTGTAACCTCCATCTCCTGAGTTCAAGTGATTCTCCTGCCTCAGCCTCCTGAGTAGCTGAGACTACAGGTGTATGCCACCATGCCCATCTAATTTTCGTATTTTTAGTAGAGATGGGGTTTCACCATGTTGGCCAGGCTGGCCTCAAACTCCTGACCTTAGGTGATCTGCTCGCCCCAGTCTCCCAAAGTGCAGGGATTACGGGTGTGAGCCACCATGCTTGGACTAAATTATTGTACTTTTGTAAGTAATGTTTTATTTCCTATTTTTGTACATTTGTTGTCTATGTTTCTGATTGAGTCTCAGAAGTGAAATTAACAGAATGAACATTTAAAACTACCTGCCATATATTGTGAAATTTAATATTGCTTTACTATTCATTCATAGAAGTAGGAGATGAATGGCTCTGTGCTATCACACCATCTTCTGCATTGATTCTTCTTCACCTTCTTATCATCGTCATCATCATCATCAATAAATTTGTAAGGAAGGAAACAGCATTGCTTACTGATTTTCATTTCTTTGCTTGTTAGTAAAACTGATACAACTGAATGTACTTTCCAGTTACTTGTGTAAATTATTTTTTTACATTCAGATATAGCACAAATTGATCAATATTTGAGACCGTCATGAAGAAACTTAATTTTTTATCTATCATATTGGGCTGCAAATATTTTTCCTAGCTTCACATCTATTTTTAAATTCTGTTTTGTAAATATACAATTATAAATCTCTGTACAGAGACATATTTATTTTTATCTAAATTTTTATTTGATTTTCAACTAACTACGGTGTAGTCAGTGATTTTGAGATTTCAGTGAACATCTCATGAAATATTTAGTAAAATTTTCAGTACTATATCTTGAAAAGTCTTGTAGGAGTTTTGCATAGGACAGTTTAGGACCGACACATGAAGTCTGGAATAACTGGTGCAACAACATCAATGGCAATCATAACGACAAAAACAAGAAAACAAACAAATAAACAAACGACTTGTAGCTACATCTCTTTGAGTGTCTGCTTTCTGCCAGGCACTGAGTTGACTGATGTAACTCATTAGCTTAAATCATATGACAGCCTTATGAAGCACGTGCTATTATTATCACCATTTTTTGCAGAGCATCCAAGTGGCATAATATGTTATGTAATTTGCTACAATCACTCAGTGGTTAGTTGGAACTGAGTTTTGACTTCAGTCCATCTGTCTTCAGAAATCTGGGGCTCTCTCACCACTGAGATATGTTGCCTCTAAAAGTTACCAAGCTGCCTCAAAATCTTTGCAAGATTCATTTAAGGACTTATTAAAATTGCCTTTATGTTTCTAGATGTAATTTTTTCCTTAATATTTCGGATTTTGCAATGCTTTTACTGTTTTTGGATGACTTTTAATTTTTTCTCATTATATTTTCTTGTTGATTACTTTTAGTATCCGCACACGCTACTGAATTCTTACCAATGTTAAGTGGTTACAGTTAATTTTCTTGAGTTTTCTAGTTGTTATTTCTTATGGAAACTGTATTCCTACTTGCGTTCAATATCTTATAGTAATAGCCACAAGTTCTATAACCATTGAGTACTAAAGGGCAGAGCATGTATGTGTGTTTTGTTTCTAAATATCATGGATATCATTTAGGTTTTCACAACTAGGCATAGTGAAGGTTGTCAGGTTAGTAAAGTATTACTTATCATGTTTTACGTATATTTTTAATTTAAGATCTTCTCAATAAAAATAAAAGTTTTATTGTATTTAAAACCATTTGGCATTTTATTTAGATGACAATATATGATTTTTAACCTCCTTCTTTGTCTTACATAAAAAATAAAAATGGCATCTACATTTCCATGGCAATTGTCATCAGTTTTAAGCGGTTTGCATGCATTTTCATACTTCATCTTCACAAAAACCCTGTGCGGTAGTCACTGACATATTTTCTTTTCCAATTAACAGATGAGAGGACTGAAGCAAAGAATGGTTAGTGACCTCCACAAGGCTATATAATGAGTTAAAGGAAGACCTGAGATTTCAGTGCAAAATGATCTGCCTCTAGAGCCAATGTTCCTAATCACTCAGACACATGAGGATACCAGTGGAAAGAGGTTTTGAGAAGTCATCCAGAATTAAAACCTGTATCAGGGAGACAGAGAAGGCCAATGCATACATACCTACAAGAACTGGACGCAGCTTAACTCTAAAAGGAAAAAAAAAATTAGTCTATTTAATAAGAGTCCTCACTTTTTGGAAATCATCTCAGGGTATACTTTTATATGTCAAGGGTAAGTTTCCTGTATACCCGTTCCCATTTCTGTCTCTTCATAATGGGCAGTAAGTGAAGCATATAAAGGAAAAGATCAATTGTTTCGCCTGCTGATCAGAACTGCAGAACTCTCCTCTATATTTTGAAATCAGGAACTCTGAGTCACCATGAGGAATCAGAGAGGAGGAAGGTTGCAAGGAAGGAGTGTCTAAGCAGAGAAATTGGGCTCATGGATATGAGCATTCTGGTGCCAACTCAGAGACCAGAGGAACACATTCCATGAGATATTATTCAAGAGATTTATTACAAGCAGGAGCTTTACACTGGTGGCCCTACTGATTTGCCCTCTCTTTAGAATGCAATGCTCTGCCTCTTTTGCAAAATATCAGAACGAGTTGCACAATATAGAAACAGTATACATAATCAGACAAGCAGGGAATCTCAGCTATGAGAAGGGGGAAGAAGGAAGTGACAGCCAAGAATCATCTAATGTAAAAGGAAAACCA